TATTTTTATCATGTTATCATACTCATTTTTCATGCCCTAGATACACTAGGTGTGAGCTAAGACATGAAATTTCATCTCTATAGCCCTATCCATTTCATATCACAAGCCTATGTCAGAAATAAATCTAGATATGAGGGAACCCTGCCACTTGTAGCATGAGCCCTAGTAGTAGAACTCCCAAGAACCCAAAATATTGCTTCTCAAATCCAATCCTTATTCTTGGGATTTTGGAGAATAGCGCGATCTTTGATATAGTAGTGTAGCCTGTGTCGCGTAAAGAAACTTTAGCTCTTGGCTCGAAGCGATCCAATGGTTGAATCTTCGTAGATCTAAGGAAGAATATGGAGAAAAATACTTTTTATTGGTCTCACTGTCTTTTCTTTCTCTCTCTCAGCTATTTGTGTGGAGGAAGTCTTAGAAGACTAAGTCTTCCCCTTTTAATTCCTTATTTATACTTGATTCATATTGAGCCACACGTCTCGTTTTATCGAGTCCAATTTTATCCCTAATTAATTAAATCTCATCCCACATTAAGTTTTGTATATTTTTATTCAACTAATTTTAAATCATTTCTTGGGTCATGCAAAAAAAATTTGATCGTGATCATTTTAGTCGCGCGACACCCAAGCGCTTCGTAATACACGAAAAATCCGTCTGTCTCAGAATTAAATGAAAATTGACTGGGTAAGTACATTTCATAAGAAGAATCCAATGGTGAGGTCTATTTCATCATTTGAGTTCTATAAAAACTTAAGTTTTTAACCCGTACTTTAATGGCTAGTTATCGTTTTACCATTTTTAATTAAGTTTTAATTTTCTCGGGTTTTACACTATTTATCTTGATACTCTAATCCAACTTCACACATTAAAGAAAATGATCTTTGTTTAAAAATCACCAAAACCCCACTGTGAAGGGTGTGCATTCCGAGGATCTTGGCGAAGAAGATTGCTCGAGGCTTAAACAATCCATTGTGGTGGAGAGCTCAAGTGAAGTTATCCATAACATCAAAGAGAGACTTTTGGTGGAGACATCTATTGGAGGAAATGAACATCTAACCATAGTATTGGTTGAGGTATAAGACTTGAGTACTTGTAGATTTAGCTTGAAATAGTGGATTAGGCTTTGGTGAATGTAATGCCCAAAATCGATATTCAAGCATTAACTATCTAACAATATTAATCCATGAGAGCATACTAAATGATGAATCATTAAAATAATAAAATCATCCATCATCTAATAGATAACCAAACAAATTCCAAATCCAACAAAATAGCTCCTTAAAGTTACATCCAAAATCAAAGAAATAATACTCCAACCTAACTAACTAACAAAAACTAAAAATATTATATCATCATCAAAGTGCAGAATTTAAAAACTAAAAGGAACATCTCTAAGCATTCACTTCCAGATCCACGTCATGATTTACCTCAACATCCCAATCTACCAGTTGACTTAGAGTTATATCTTCCACAATGTTAAAATCTGACAAATATTTATATTGTAGGATGAGCAAACAAGCCCAATAGGAAAACCTTCTCAAACCCAAATAAGGTTTAGAAATCATGAAAAATAGGTAAGTCTTAGTTTGTAAAATATCATATACAAATTTGAGTAAAACAATGTCATTTAATAACGATCTCGAGTTTATGGTACAAAGTAGTAAAGTTCATGGCAAAATATAATCATTCACAAAACCACAACTCAAAATTTTATATCTCATGTATGCAGGTTGACGAGCACGAATCTACACACCGAACATATCTGGTCCACACCACACCATAATCACAAAACCATTCCATCAATCCCCGCAGGGCCATAATACTTTAGGAAGAGTGTATACTGACGCATCGGCAACGATGAATTTTTCCCACAACTAGTATGCTAACCCCCAACCTTAATCACCATAAATGAATAGTGTGAATTCTTGAACCTTGCAAGGAATCAAGTAATTCCACTACGAGTGATAGGAAATCTTCAAATTTCTCAAGGTAAGAAAAATATCTGAACACTCTGCTATATAAATTCGAGTAAAATTCACGTTCATCGCACCTACCCATACAAGAGATAATTTCATACTTTCACAAATTTTCTCTTTTCACCCTTCACAATTCTATAATTTTTCAAATACAATAGTAATTTGATCAAAATATGCAACAAATCGTAAAAAGAAATGTTCATATTCACAATATTCAAGATCTAGGATTACTAAATCAAGAACGAATAAATCTTAGAAGAAAATCATATATTTCATTCAAGAAATGATTCATGGGTTCAAACGAATGTAAAAATATTGTAGATCTACTAGTGATATCATAATAAAGATAAAAAAATATAACTATATAGCTCTAACCTCAATGAATGAGTTTGAAAAAGAACTCCTACCTTTAATCCACAAATAATGTGATTCTATGCATGTTTGATGCAATTTCCTTGCGTCAATACTTCAAGATTCACCCCCTTTCCTTCTCTCCCAACTTCTCTTAGTTTTTTGGGGTTGAAAACCATGTATAGGAACACTAAAATGCGACCCTAGGGTATTTCTAGTGTCAAAAATGGAGAAAGCCCTAAAAACTAATCAAAAATATTTTTAGCGAGGAGTCCAGATAGTTCTAGGGGCTTCTGGATGCTACCAACTGTCTATTTATTTTGTATTCTGATGAAATGCACAATTTTATTTTTGGGACAGGCATCCAGACGATTGTTTTTGCATCTGAACACTAGTAACTTTCTATCCATACTTCTAGCTTGATTGTGACCTAGTTAGCGGCCAATTCACGAAATTCCATGCAATACATATTTTGAGATCATGAAGTCTACTTTACCATGTCCAAAAATCAGATTGATCAGACATCAAGAGAAAAATTTATGGCTAAACGATTGAGGTAGAGTCAAATTTCTTCCTACCCAATTTTTTTTCAAAATGCGTTTTAACTCCGAAATACTTCTAAACTTATAATACACCCACACATCACCTCTCCCATGGTTTCTTAAACTTAAAAATTCAATGTTAGTCTTATTTTCAACTAAAAATATTTAAAAACTTATTTATCCACGCATCTCAAGCTTAAACGCCTTAAAAATTAAATTTGACCCAAAAATGAATACGCATGTCACTCAAACTTTATGATCAATCTTTTAACAATGATTTGAAGTTTCTACCATCATTGTATTTATCTTAAGAGAAATTTTAAGATAATATTATTCTTATTTAATGATAGTACAGGGTCTTACAATGTACCCCTAGTGGTTCCCCATAGTGTTTCCTGGTTGGGTTTCCTCAACAATTACTTATGTCTCTTATTGGTTTAAATTTGTTTATATAGTTGCAATTGGTGCACCCACATGCACTATATGTTTGATGATTTGATTGTTTTATCTTTCAATCCTTAAATGATATCTAATGAAGTTTTCTTTTTGTCTTCTTCACCAACCCATCAAAAAGTTAGCAAACTTTTTCTTCAAACTGGTCAAGAACTCCTTTTGGAGTTGGAATCCCTACAAGAAGCTACGCTAAAGAGTTTTGACAAATAATGATTGAGATGAGATTCAACATTTTTTAACCACGAAACACTCGATTTCCATTTTGGTTGTAAGTGTAACCAAATTGCTATTAGGGATACGAGCTTACTCTAGTCCCCTTACAAAACTTTCGTTATTGGATTAGCCAAACACTTTACATGTTTCTACAGATTCACATCGCATTATCAAATGATACAAGTCTTGGATAAAGATGGAGGGTAAGAGATAGGATCGTAAGAAATGATAGGCTCTCCGTCAGTCCTTATTGGGTAGGGATAGCTCACTTAAGGAAGACTACATTTGGAGCTAAATTTTCCTTAATTCTAGGGGAAGTGTCCACCAGGAGAGCAAAGTTTCACTTCACTATCAGCCCAGTTGACTACTATCATGGGCATACTTACACGAATGCAGAGACAGATGGATGATTAGGACAACATTACTTCATATAGGTTTGATGTTATTGATGCTCAGTTGTTTAGCATTTAGAAGGGAGAGGAAAAGAGCTTTGGAACTATTAGAGGATGACTGAGGTGGCTCAAGAAGATGTTGAAGGGCAAGAAGAGGGTTGGTTACCCTGAGTCAGAGGATTGTGAGGAGCCTGAGGATCAACTAAGAGATGGTGCTTGTGGTGGAGCTGGAGCTAAAGGAGATGTTTTTGCTTGTTAGGATACTAGACTTAGGATATTATGGGAGCTTGAGTGTTTTTATTTGCTTCAAATTTCCTTGGACTATGTAATATTTGTTTGCTTTGTTGGTGACATACATCCTAGGATTCTATATTTATCATTTTGTTGTCCATTTTTTAATCATGAATGTTATATGTCATGTTTTTACCTTTTTCCTCTTATTCACTTGTGATGTTTCCTAATAGCTTTCTGATTTACTATATATTTCCTTATTCTTTGCATGTTATATTATTATCATTTACACTTTGTCTTTTTAACTTTGTGAGAAAAAAGGGGAAGATATTTTGGAGAAAATTAGGTGAGTCTAAGGGAGATTGTTGAAAAAAGAGAGAAGAAAGTGGGAGCATATTACAATTACTTGAGGGGATTAAATTTTAAAACTTAACATGAAGTCATGTTTTTTTGTTAATTTTTTGTTTGTTGATTAACGGAGTTCATCTTAAGTTGTTGAGAAACTTAAAAGGCTTTCACTTGTCTACCAAGTTGATAAATAGACAAAAATAGTTCATTTTGTTTTGATCACATTAGGCTATGTTTCCACAATTGGATAACTTAAATTAAAAAGGGATCATTGATTCTTATTTGTCATACATTTTTCAACGATTAGACAAAAGTTTCTGAGCGCTTCAAAAAAGTACTAATTGTATTCGATCTTATATACATCTAGTTGTCTCCTAGCAAAGATTGAAGCTCTCCGATTCAACAAAGTTTGGACATTATCACGGAGAGAGTTGCTCAAACAAGCTATACTTAAGTCAATTTATGCAAGATCATTTATGCTCGAAAGAAGGAAATTAATTTTGTACCTGATCTTGTAAGTGAGTGACATCAGATTGCCACCATAGTAATCCCGATAGGAAAGCTACCACCAACACCTGACCAATCTTAAGCCCAGAGAAAGACTCGTGCTTTCTTTCTTTCACCCCTCTTCTTAACAGTACTGAAAACTGTTCCCACCACGTTGTGGTCCACCGTGCAAACTGCTTTTCTTCTAATCCTTGATCTTGGAGCTTATAGTCAATTGCTTGCAGTTCTGCCTTCAAATTCGCAGCCAGACTGGTCTTAAAAGCAGAAACCAAACTCTGCTTGATTACAGTTTGACGATCAACCCGTGAATCATCTGATGTAACACCTACAAACATGAGTTTTGATTATAACTAACAATGTATGTTGCAATTGGCCAACTGATCACACAATCTGATTAAACATATTGAAGAATCATTATAACAATACTGTAAATAATTTCCAACTTTCTGTATTTGTGCAAGGACAAGGGACCATAGGTGACCCAAACGAACATTAAGGAAAATAACAACTACATGTAATTTGTGTGAAAATTAAAGTTTTAAATACTTTATGTTTAAATTTCAGGGTCTAATGCAGAAATACCAGAGAATATGAGGCAATTTTGCAAAACTTGTAACAACAAAGGAGCAAAGTGTAATATAGACACATGGAACATCTAACACACAACACATGGATCAACTGCAAGGCACGTTGAAGCTTAAGAACAGGACACTTGGAATCTCCTGCAAGGAATCACCATCCGAATGGTGATCGTAGGGTCTGGATGGTCACTAGGTGCAAAGCCTTATCTTTCCACCTTAACCTTACTTTCCACCTCGTGCTTGCCTTTTGTCTACAATAGGAGACTCCTTCTTCATTCCAAGAAGGCCAGCCATCCAAGAGTTCCAAAGGGAGAAATCCAAAGGAATAAGAAAAGAGAAAAAGAAAGAAAGAAAGAGAGACTCAAATACAAAGCCGGTCTGTCCTACACCAATGTTCTTTATATCTACATTTATGTTGTATCTTTCTATTCAGATAGTTGAACTACCACCACTTTTTTGTCTTAATTGATAATAAAGGTGGTTGTGTTTCAGTTGTTCCATGTTAAAGAAGTTTTAGAGTTTATATTTTAATTTCAGTTGTAATGAAAATTGCCCGCGCTTCTTGCTTGTACAGTGGAGAGTGAGTAGTTCACTTACACCCTTCGGTGAAGGGTGAACATATGTAATTATTGGTTAACTTCTAAAAATGCTGATGTCTTATTTACATCTTTATCTATATATGTATTATAAGCTTCATGCATGATACAATGATGTGCGTAGTTTTGGTGCTGTGCCTAGAATTATGTCATCAGTGCATCATCAGCCTGTCGGAAAAACAACCACGACATTCCTATCGGTATGGCTAGTCCTCCACTAGAACGCTGAGGATGTTTAACTGTTGCATGATACCAAACCTAAATAATCCTCATGAATGGCTTATCCTTCTGGATTATTAGGGTTGTTCATATATAATAATACTGCCAGATGAATATCTACGGTATTCCTATCGGTATGACTAGTCCTCCACCGGAACGCTGAAGATATTCTACTGTAACATGCTATAACTATCATATTAATGACCTAAGTGATCCTTATCAATGGCTTGTCCTTCAAGATTACTAAGATCGTTTAATTGGTATGAATGATAATATTCCTAGTCGAACAACCACGACATTCCTATCGGTATAGTTTATCCTCCATCGGAACGCTGAGGATGTTTAACTAGTATATATGTATCACAGATAATTCAAATGAATAATTCAAGTATTACTTATGGATGGCTTGTCCTTTTTGGTTTGCTTGGATTAATCACTTGATACATCTATAACCAGCTAACCTAAGAAGTTGTTGTGTTATGAATTAATACCACCAGGTAACCTAAGAAGTGGCTGTGTTATGGTTTACTATATATGCACCTACTATTATAGAGTTAATTGAGTAATTCAAGTATTCCTCATGAATGGTTTGTCCTTCTGGTTTATTTGGATTAATCAATTGACATGAATACCACCAGCTAACCTAAGAAGTTGCTGTGTGATGGTTTATATACGTCAGACCTATCGGTTGACTTGCCAGTAAAATGGGAGTTAATTGTTGTAAGGTAGCATTTCCAGTACTCAACCAATATAAAGCATATAGAATCCCTAAATTGAAGAGTAGCTTTTATATTCTTGTCATTAATACGCTTACTTGCATACTTTATTTAATTAAACTAGTTGTTAATCTAAGCTCACATCACAAGCTATCAAATGATACACTACTTCAAACAACAACTTTACTGTTTTTATTTTAAAATCTAAATTACTAAAACTCTTCGTGGGATCGATACTTGGACTTAAACCAAGAAAACTACAATTCAACCACTTATACTTGGGTGTATAATATAATTCAGATCACAAAAGAGTGCGAATCAAGTTTTTAGCACCGGTGCCGGGGAGTTATGGTATTTTAAAAAAAAATAAAAATACCAATATATGGTTATTTGTATTATAGGGTTATAGTTTGTTTGTTTGTAGTCTATTTCTGTTCATTCATCAATAGGTTCTATAAATCAATGATCACCCTCATCTTCTTCATCTTCATCTACACAAGAATCCTTTAAACTAAGTATTGCTAGAAACGTATCTAGGGAAGAACAACCTAGAGAACAAGAGGTAGTTCAAAATGTCCGACCATTAAAAGAATATCTACATCCTACAAGAACTAATGTTCCGTCATGTTTTGTTTTTCCAACAGATGCTCCAAATATTAATATTAAACCAGGAACAATACAGTTACTACCACAGTTTCATGGTTTAGAAACTGAAAACCCCTATGTTCATATGAACGAATTTGAAGAAGTCTGTGAAACTTTGCAAGATAATTCTGAAATGGTCAAATTAAAACTTTTTCCTTTTTCTTTGAAAGATAAAGCTAAACTATGGCTTAACTCTTTAAGAGCAAATTCGATCACAAACTGGCAAGCTTTACAACCTGAGTTCTTTAAAAAAATTTTTTCTGTGCATCGTACTAATATATTTATACGTCAAATAATGAACTTTTCTGTAAAAGAAGGTGAAACTTTTTATCATTGTTGGGAAAGATTTGAAGATCTTCTCCAAGCTTTTCCACATCATGCATTTAAAAACTGGACTTTAGTTGGTTTCTTTTATGATGCACTCCCATCTACAATGCGACAATTTGTTGAAATGATGACCTAAGGAGAATTTATGAATAAAAATCCTGAAGAAGCATTTCAATTTTTTGATACTACTTCAGAAAGTTCCCAGATGTGGGACTCAACTTCTTCAACTATTGTGGAAAATAAGCCATCCACATCTAAAAGAGGAAAATATATTTTGAAAGATGATGATGATTTAAGAGCTAAAATGACTAATTTATCTCGAAAATTAGAAGCCTTAGAAATGAAAAAAAATTATGCAAGTATCTGTTGTATCAACTACTGATCAAGTATGTGAAATTTGTGCATTTGTCGGGACATCCTGCTGGGGAATGTCCAACTATACCTGCATTCAAAGAAGTAGTAATTGAACAATCTAATGTTGTTCCAACTTGTAAAACCCAAAAAAAATTGAACTTTTTATGAAAAAGGAAAAAATGGTAATTTACAAAATATATGACGAAACGGATCTCAGCGTTAGATTTGTCTCGCGAAATCTAGTTATCTAGACAATTTTCGTCGCATTTCGAGATAGTCCGATTTTTTACATTTTTCGAGAAGAGGGTGTTGGGTGACCTCAAAAATGTCCAAAAAAAAAAATCTAAAATTTTATTATAATTTAAAGAAAGTTCATATAAAATATTTTGAGCTTGAACTGGAGAGAAATTTAATTGTTTCAGGGCGAAAATAGACCCAGGAAAAAGGGAGGCGTGGTGACGCAACATTGACTAAGCCTTAAAATGTATAAATAGGGACTAAAAATCTGATTTTCTGCATTTCTATTCTGCTGGGTTTACATAGTTTCGCCGGTCAGAATTCTTCGGGTCAAGTATTAAAGTTGATCTCCTCGACGAGGGCTACGCAACCATACCAAAAATGAATAATTTCACCGAAGATTCAAAAATAAGATTTTGGGGGAAGCTTGGGTTTGAGCTTGTGATTAAGTTCTTGGAGGTTTTCTACATTGATTTTATGCTTGAAGAGGTAGGGTTTTCATCCTAACTAAGTTTATTTCCAACTTAGGATGAATATATGAAATGGGTGGGCTATTTTGTGTATTTTATCACTTGCCTATTATAGTTGGTTTAATGGAAATGGGTAGGCTCAATTCTAGAGTGAATTGGTAATTAGAAATTGCTAGTTTGTGATTTCTTGAATGTTTTGATAATTGGATATGTGAAAATCATTTATTCTGATTTTTTTGGGTTATGTGATAAATTTGGGTATTTTATGTGATTACATGATTTGGTGCCTTTAAGGTGTTTGATAAAATGTCTATGTGAAATAAAGTATGTTAATTGCATGAGATTATGTGATATCATGCTTAGATGATGTGGTAAAGTAAAATCATATGCTTATGATATGAATTACAATTAGAAATGCAAATGTTGATATGTGCTTATGAAATATTGGCATTGGGGTGAATTATAAAAATTATTTACTTAGGATGTAATTATCCATGACATGTGTTGAAATGTGGTAGAAATAATCCATATAGCATTCATTACATATGGATATAATATTGATGTTGCAATTGCTCATTATATTGCATATGCACGGATGCATCACATTCATAGGCATGAGGCATGAGTGTGGATGTGTGTGCTTGTTGTTAGGTCAAACACCATCCTTGGTGGTTGACAAGTGGACTCGGTATAGTTGGACCAAGGTTTAACAAAGTTGCATGGGTTGCATGAAAAACTTGTGTCGGGTATAGCAAGAAGGGCTAGATATTCCCTCGGGTGAAAAATCCGGCTACTTGGTTCATGCACTCCCCTGTGGAGAACTTCTGAAAAAGTGTAATGGCGTACGGAGCTAGCGGTGTGATTCCAAAATCTGATACCCAACAAAGACACATGATTTTGTTTCATACAAAAATGTCATCGGATGCATAACATCAATGGCGAATTTATTACACATTGACATTGCATTGTGTTGTGGGAGCCGATGAGGGCTCGGGTTAAAGTGCATGAGTGAGTCTCATCTCATTTCATATCAGGACATGGTAGAATTCCAACATTGAATTGCATATTCTTGTTTGGGATGGTTGTTGTTTGTTAAATGTTGCATATGAAATTTCATAAGCATCTAGGTTGGGGAGCAGCCTCTTTAGGACTTACCTTATTGAGCGTGGCTCACCCTTTA